TGTGTGCGCTAATGAAGGCGTGGGGAGGTGGATGAGCGGAGAACTCACGAGGGGTGCCGGATGGGTTGGGTGTCGGTAGTTATGAAGTGTCACCGTGGGATCGGGAGGAAGCGGACTTAATAAAATAATGTGTGTAAGGCACTAAGGCTTATTGACGAATGCAGGATGGTGGCATTGTTTGCTTGCTTTCGCATTTGATCCAAGATTTGCCGCTCATGGGTAGATGATGAAAAACGCCAGAGACAGGGATTGAATACATATTTAGATCTTGAACCGGTAACGACCCCTCCTTTCTACCCGGAAAGACTGGCAACGTGCCATTTGACACGTTTCGATGCCTAGCCAGGTCACTTCGCGCCAATCGCCAAGCTATATTTCCCTTCGCGAAAGCATCCTTTCTTTTCCATAATATATCCGCTTCTAGCTCCCTCCCGGCACGTACTCCTACTCTCCTTTTCTCTGATCCTTCTTTCTGATCCATCTTTCCATTGTCATCCCATTCCTACCCTAGAGCCATGCCTCCGTTCTGCGCCTTATTTCGCCACTCCACACCGCCTCTTTACACCGAGTAACTCGCGGGTCGGCCGACCGGCGAATTGAACCGAACCGGACCGGACCGTCCAAATCAACAACAAGATCGGCCGCGGGTTGTGCCGCCGGCGCGGCGCTCCAGGATGTTTGGCGCGGGACTTTCTGGGTCAGGGTCGGCGCCAAAACGGCGTGGGAGCGAATGGCGCGCGCTAACCGGTGGCGCGGCGAATATGGCGCGGACTGGACGCCCACCGCGGCGCTGTTTGTGCGCCGCTTTTGTACCGGTGTGAGCGGTGGAGTTTTTGGTGGGGCGGGGTGAGCAAAGGTGAATCGGGAAGTGAGATAGTGCACAAGGCTATAGTGACACAGGGAACTCCGTAAGGGTCAAGGGCGGAACAAATAAAACGGAAATGCATTGGAAAGTAGCAACAGCTGATACAAACGAGCTTTAAGCTTAGGTTGGCTCGGCTACCCAACTGGAAAGGTTATGGGGTACTGAAGGAGACTGAACGTTTAGGTAAAATATTAAACAAGCTCGTTATGTATTATTGAACACTCGGTCGATTACATATCAGAGCTGTCCAACAGATCTAATATCGTTGCCATGCGTCATGATAGGCGGGACAGCTCAGCGAATCCGCAAATTGTTTTCGCAAACCTGGAATGCGGACCGGACATAGCCGACCCGCCATGCTTTAACTAATGGCGAACGTGGCTTCGGCATCCGGTGGTCAATCCTCCACAACTCTGCCTTTCCTCCAGTCCTCTACCCGGCCCCTTTGGCTCTAACCCTTTCACTCGGTCCATCCGGTCTCTGAGCCCCGCCTGGACCTTTTCGTCGCCCGATCCGTTTGGCTCTGTGTCTCCAGCTGTTCGTTTTTTTTTTGCTCATTTTGAGACGCCATGCGACGTCTCGCTGTCGGAAAGACGGCATGCCTGGCTCGTCGAAATTGACGACCGTTGGGCGTCGCTATCGTCGAACAGGGACCCGCTTTCAGTTCACGGCTCTAGTCCCGTGTTTCGCCCCGGAATTCTACATTTTCCGTGATCGCAGGAATTCTGCCGTGGTTCCTTGCTTCCTCAGACGACACTAGTCTCATTGTAGCCGCCAGCTTTGCCCGCAGGTGTTCGTTTCTGCGTTTGAATTCGTCCCATATGGCAGCACTGAACGGTCCAGTGGCAGCGCCAGATGCGGCGCGGCGGCGGCGTTGGCGGCGCGGCTGGGCTCTCTTTGTTCGCCACGCGCCGGCGCGACCAAGCCGCGACTAGGACGCTGCCGGTTCCCCGAAGGCAGCAACCCGGAGGCGGTAGAATACCGTGAATGTGTCGTGAATGATGGCGCGGTGTAGATTGCATTGGGCTGCAAGAAATGAGCCGTGGGTGGTTGGCAATTGTTTTATAGATAAAACAATTTTGATGGGGATTTCAAGTGGACATTTTTCATTCTCCCGTTCCGCGGCCTGCGTTTTGTTTTGTTTTCCTCGTAACAGAACTTAAGTATCATTATTAATCCTTCGTACGTTGATCTGAAATTTGTTTTTCCTTAGTGCTCAGCGTGTCTTAAGCACAGCCGACTCGCCGTTCTTTCTTTAACCCCGTTTTCTATCTAGGCTTCCTACTACTAATATGGCGCGTTACTATCGCTCTACATTGCTTATGTCTAAAGTCTAGTCTCACTAGTCTGAAGGTCTGCAAGCACGCTCCCTCAGTTGGTCAGCCTACGTGACTGCCGGCGTTTCGGTCCCGCCGGCCGGTGGTCACTCGGCGTGTGGCCAGGCTGGGGAGGGGTCGGGATGGGCGGGGGGGGGGGGGGCGGAGGTCGTGTTCCTCCACATCCGGTAAGCGTCATCAGCGTCCCGCCGCCGCCGCCCCGCACCTGCCGCCGCCGCCGGCGGGTCGTCCGCCGGGGCACTGGATGATACCGGGGCCTTTGGCGGAGGGATATGAGCCTGGTACGGAAAGCTACGGGAATGAGTGTGGCTAGAGGTTGTCGTCGAAAGGAGGGCTTAATGAGTCGCAGAGTTAAGCGAATAGGAAGGTATTATGCTCATATGGATAGGTGGCTTAGGATACTTAGTGGACCTTATGAGTATTCTTATCTCAGTAAACAAATAGGCAACATACTTATTCCTAGTAGGGTAGCCTGGGGCAAGACGCCCCAGATAATTTATTTTGCTACATAACTTTTATTCCACATAACCTGGAAGGCCAAATTTGAGCTCAATGCGTTCTTTGGACATTTTACTTTAAAGGTAGTGTGCCAGCTTTCTTGGACCGTATGGAGTTAATGGCCCAGATAAGGAGAACCGGATTTTTAGAACTTATCCATACCTTCAAAACTCATGGAAACGTCTTAAATTCTTCAAATTTTGAGTACCCCAGTGCGAAATTCGCCCCGACGGGTTGTCGGTCGTACCCCAACCACATTTCACACCACTATGAACAATAAATGCACACACTGAAATCGCTATTACCGATATGCTCATCCAATCAAGTTTCGATAAACCCGTTCATCATCATCTCCTGCGGTTTCGAACACGCCTGTTAGGTGGCTTCTGATGCTCGTCGAGGTCGGAATTTCCAAATACGCGTGGTGCGTCGGGCCGCGCGCTCTGACTTCGGCCAAGAAAAATGCGTCAGCTGATCATTGTCATTTCTGCCACTTGCGTGTGGTGAAATGGGGTCATAACTTATAAGACGGCTTTTTCATATCAATTATTTTACATAAAATCATATTTCAAACCATAAATAATGTTCGACAGCCAAATAAAAGAAACAATACCAATACGGGCTTACAGTTTAAGGCTCGACATTGTGTTGTCTACGATTAGACAGCTGATAACTCATTCCCGTACGTCGTATGGTCGTAACACTATAATGACCTTTGCTTATTGTCACAAGTGCGCCGCATTCGCGATTGTTGCCCGACGCCTGTTTGCAGGTGAGCCCACTACAGTTGTTATACATATCTAAAAACCGAAAAACTTTTAGGCGAAAAGGGCACTATTCCAGGCCCATTTTTGATTTTTTTGCGATATTAGGTAAAAACAGAAGCTTCTTATCCTAGGAAAAATAAAATGGGAAATCTTTCAAAGGTGGCACACTACCTTTAAATTCCACCCCTCAAATTCATTCACTTACCTATGATCGGACTCCCAGCTAGGAAGTGGTTTGTGAAGCAACTGCAAATAGGGCGTTTTGCCCCAACCCGAGGGCAAAACGCCCCACGGCCTGGGGCAAGAAGCCCCATACTCTAGATTAAAGATTAAACATGCTAGTTGACTAAATCTTATATGAAAGGTCCGTTGGACCTTGGGAGGCATGGCACTGAAGTTAGCACCTTCCATCCTATCAGGTGTTCAGCTACGACACTATTGTATGAGCAGGTTTTTCACCTGCCTCATAAGGCCAAATAATAAATTATTGCAATGCAAATGTTAACAAAATACTTCCTTTGCCATCCAGTTGCTGAGAAAAGTACATATAAATGCATAGAAACATACCGTTCGCCAGCTACCGAACGTTAGGAAGTGGGTAGTCCGAACAACACATGAGGTAAAACGCCCCATGGGGCTTTTTGCCCCGCGACCTACTGGGGCGTTTTACCCCATCACGTAGTTCAGTCAGAGAACAACGCCTTGCACTCCAGGAAGACATAATTTAACACGAACCAACCCGGCATTGTAAGCGTTAGACAATAGTTGTTCAAAATACATAAAAGTCGTCAACCTGATGTGGACGATAAAAGAACGCCATGATGCATAATCTGACAACAAAACATAAAAATCACTCCAAAAACACATTTTTGGCTATATCTCCCTAAAGAGTCATCACAATTTATTTCCAGTCTGCTCATATAATGATCGTATAGTGCACGTTTTATAGAAGAGATGATGTTTCCCCAGAACCTTGCCATTTCCGAGAAACATCGGTGAGGCGTTTTACCTCGGCGGGGCGACTTGCCCCGGTCTACCCTACTTCGACTAATTAATCAAAGGGTAATTTCTTATTACTAACTCAAACTCTGGTGTACGAAGCCGGTTATCTTGAGCTGCGGAAGTGCCAGTGGTAGCCTGTAAGACTACACGGGTCAGGAGCGGTCAGCCGAGGTCACAGAGGTCAAGTGCGGTCACCTCGACCATGTGAAGTTCCGAGAAGAGCACTTCTCTGCACTGGGTGAATCTGAGATTAGCCAGGCTGATGTCGATTACCGAGAACGTCTGAATGTATTCATATGCTCTGAGGTAAGCGATGCTGTGCTATAAACTGTGCTTCCCTTACTTGCACGGAAGAGTCTACCATGAAGAACCATGTCCTCATCAATTAGATTAATACCCTCCCTCAAAGCAGGTAATTGCGTTCAGACATCAATTTGATCCCGCCGGACGCCGGAAGAAACACGCATAGTCATCGTTCGGCCGTCACATCTGCGCACCTAATCCAGCCTTGGCGTCATCCAAACAGCAGCGTCATCCAGTAATGAGTTTATATGCTCAACGTACGGCATAACGAGCTTCGCGAAGCGGTCCTTTGTGTGTGCCTACCTGGAAGACCTCGTCCATGGGCTGTCCCAGCAACTCCGAAGTCCAGGCTGGGATGTCCAGGCCCCGGGGAGTGAGAGAACGTCGAGGTCATCTCTGGTTGTTGAACATGATCTCGATGAGTCTTTGTCCTTCGAGCTTGGGTTGCGTTATGCATCGGTGATATGGTTTCAATGTGCAAATGGGCTTCCTCTGAAAAAGGAGAGGTGGGTTTAAATTACGAACGGGAAGCTGCTGACTGTCTTCAGAGGCTCAATCAAACTATCTTATTGACTTTGACTCATGGGGTCATGAAACCAAACCCTTCCACCGTGACCTCGGTCTTTGACCGTGGCTGCGGCGGCTGCGGCGCCGTTCAGCGACTTTGGCTTTGGCCGTGGCAGCAGCTCTGTGCCACTCACATCGTCGCCTGAGCGCGGTGAGTCACAGTTCTCGGAAGGATGCCGCAGGCAATGGCTCGACGCCAGCCACCACCACCGCTGACCACTAACGCCGCCGGGCCCGCTTCCTGCCGCGAAAGTTTCCACCTGCCCGGCATGGTTCCTGCCCTTTGAATCATGACTCTTCCACCGGTAACCAGTTGAAAGTGATGTCCACCTTTGACTCTTGATTTATTTCCCTGGATGTCCTGCTTATTTAATGCGTCATTCATGATTTATGTCCCCGAAAGACCGAACTATTTAATATCGTTTTTTCCAGCAGGTGGGTTAATTATTCCTGCTGAGGCTAAAAAGACGTGATATTAATAACCGCTGACCGGGCTCCCCTTCCGCCTCCCTCCCCCGTTGCTAAACAACTCAATTACAATTGTATACCTTACAAAGTACTCGTCCCTCCCCTAGCGGATTCCCCCGGTTGGAGGGTGTTGAAGGGACGGACAGCAGTCGCGTGGCGGCTATCGTCACACCTGGAATCCCCGTCCCTCTCCCCTCCCCCTCTCTCCATGTCCCCTCCCCGATCGCAGTCATCATCAATGACAGTCACCCTCGCTGTACGACCCTCCTGTGACCCTGGTTCCACCCTCGCCGGCTCCCCACCACCCTTGGCCTTGTCAACCACTGCCGTTGCGCGTGCGACCCTAGGGAGATTCCTGCGTAGGGTGGGGACAGGGGCGCACCCTCTGCGGTTCGCTCCCCATTCAAACGGACTGACACAGTGACCCTTTTTAAATGCGGCTCCCCTCGTCGCTCCCCCAGTCTTTCGGGGCAGACGACTCGTGCTTCCTACCTGTTCACCCTCCCGCTCCCCTCCCCCTCGCTCTCCCTCCCTCCCTACATGGGGCGCTCCCCCGGCCTTGCGGATCGCCCCTCTAGTCTGTCGGGACCCCGTTTTACCTCAGGATGACGTCACTGGAAGGGAGTGTCGTCATCGGGAGGTACTGACGCGTGCCCGGCGACCCCTCGTGACCTTGCGGCCCGGGAGAGCAGATCAGACCGGGTGGGCGGCCGTGTCCCGGAGGTAATTTGATCAAAGATCCCTCCTCGGTGGCTACTGGGAGGGTGCGGGCGGTTTTTCTTCATCCAGGTGTGGGTTTGGTGCCTGCCGGAGGGGTGCGGGGAGATAGCTGACGGGTGCGAGACAAATGAGGCAGAAATTATGGTCGGAGACTCGGGACAATACATACTACTTCGTAGCTAACGATACCCCTTTCGGGCATTGGAACCCTTCGAAGTTAATCTTGTGAGTCAATGTCTTTGGAAATTCACGTTGTTGGTTAGTTTGGATTCTCTCGTTGTGCGAATAATTAAGTTTGTTTCATAAGTGCATTGTGTTATGCTTGTTTTGAAATGCGAGTTGGTTCTCGGATAATTACTAACTGCTGCGGATGTGGTCATTTTCACTAGCACTATTTGTTTGACGATTTCAAACTCACCGCAGACCGTAACTGTCCAACCGTCATCTCTGTTCTCTTTGTTTCTATGTCTGAGCCTGGGCTTTGTTTTGGCACAGTGTCTCACATATGTCCATATATTATCCAATGCCCAGCGCTTACCTAACCACCAACCTCCCACCTGGCACCTACCTTCTCATGTCGTCACACCCATGAAGCCAAGCAGGACAGTCAATTCGCTGCTCACCACTTTTCTGCCACTCACCCACTTTATTTATCCAGCCACTTGCCCCCAAATTTGTACTGCCACTACCCAGGACGCCGAGCAAGAAACACTGATCTCTGCTCCCATCTGTGTCGTTCACCCGTAGATGCCATCGCCCGCAGCTTTCTGCCGAAATCCGACCGGCCGCGTCCCACGCCCCTGAAAGCCCGCTCGGTCTGTTCAGAAAGCGTAAAGTGCGGGTCCATTGTTCTCCCTGCCCCATTTCAGCCATGTCGCCCGATCGGTGACACCAGCGCGCGCAGCGCTGGGTGCTTGCTCGGTCTTTTCAGAGGCATCGCACTGCGCGAGTGCGTCGCTCAACGCCGCGTCGCGCCACTTCTGCGCCACTCCTCGTCTCCGCTGCGCGTTGTTCGGACTCTGTGTGCAGTGAACTGTCCTCTGATTGGTCAAAAGGCGGCAGCGATGGCGACACGATCCCAGCCAGCATCGCTCCATTTGCTCGCGCATGCGCACGGAACTGAATAGTCTTTATTGCGTATTCTTCCAGTTTTTGTGCGGCCGAGATGGCGCAAAAAACCGTCGCCGCCGTAAATTTCATGCTCTGAATAGTATTAAGCACAGGGAAGGGATATATTTCATTGTATTTAATTTGATTTTGGATCTAACAAAGGAGGGCGGGGAATTTATGCCCCTGGATGAGAGCCATGCCCTGTGTCCAGTTTCGGTCGCCGAGGGCGGATCCAGGCGTCGAGCTCGAGCAAGTTTAGTGGAATATTGGTCCTGCGGGTGTCGGGTCCACCACCGCACCGCTTCCCTTGGTGAAATGATCACCAGTTTTTGCCGCACGGCCAGTGGGTCGTTTTCGGTCGTGGTTGGCTCTGTCAGGGCGCTCCTCATTTGCATTTCTTTCGCAACGGTTTGGCCGGCGCTCTTGTACCAGGCGTGTTTGGGTCTTGTCGATTTCGGCTGATAAAATGCCAGGGTGGGTCGGGTTGGTATGGATCCCATTTATGGCGTAGTTCGTAGTGTGTCATGGCGAGATATACGGGCGCTGCATGGATCACTTTCTGTGCCCACTGCAATGGCGTTTTAGACTTACCAAAAGCATCGGGCCTTTGATGCAAGTAGTTCGTGATGTGTTTGTTCAAGCATTTAATATGTTTTCGGGTTCTTCATTTCTGTTGACCACATGCCATACTCGTTTATACATCCTGAAACCATTTGGCCTGTCTTTGGAAATTTCTGTGCCTGTTTATCCTTCCCACAGTCGAGCTAAACGAACGTCACCTAAATCACCTGGCTGTCATCTTCTGTTTATTTTTTGGATTACGCTCCACCCCTTCCTGTTTGTTCGCACCATTCTGCTCGCGTCTGGCTCGTGTCTACGTCACCGCTGCCACCGTCTCCTCTCTCAAACACAGGGTCGTCTCGTCGCCAAAATAGCTCGCAGGGACCACCAGACGCCCCCTCCCGCGACCCCTCCCCACCCATCCCCCTCCCGGGGTACACACACCCGGCCGCCGCGGCAGACGCCGATTAAATTACGCGTGCGTGTTTCCATGGCAACACATTGTTGTCGGCGCTCGACGCCAGCTGCCCGTGGACCGGAGCCTCTACTGGGGGTGCCAGACACCGCTAGCCTCTGCGTGAGGGCCTATAGACGCCGCGCCGGCTGCCAGGCGCGGTTTGATGGTAACCGCTAGTGGGTAGGGTTGAGGGTTCGCATGGGGATCAGGGTTCAAGCCGGAACTTCCGATTCGCGGAGGAAGGAAGTGGGAAAAGAGGAGAGGGGAGAGAAAAGCAAAAACGGAACTTCGCCGGAAAGAAAGAGGTGTGTCATGTTTCAAGCAAACCTATCTAAATTATTGCAGCATGTAGGCGTTTGTTGACAAGCGACCACTCCCGAAATAATCATGTGACCAGTGCTCGTGATATTTGAAGAAGCGGCGTTCCTTGAGGCCCCCATATATTTTCCATAGATCTGGCTTGCCTGAGCTTAACGATTTTCTGAAAATCTCACCCCAATTTCGGAAATGCGACCCCAAAATTCCGCCCCCCGTGCGGTGTGATATGCTCACCGGCGCAAGCCCGTCCACAGACGCACGTGACGCTTTGTCACAAAGTTCGTGACCCGGTGCCGTAACGACCGTAACGACGGCCTGTCCGACACGACACTGTTAATTACGACATTACGACAGTGCAGCTCGGCGGCGACTTTTATTGGCCAGTTACTCGGGCCCTAATAAGAGTCGTAGCTGCGGCTCGGCACTACGAACCGCTACAAACGGCGGAAGTCTGGAGATTTATGGTCCTCGATGGCGATTTTTCTCAGTGCGTAATCCGTCAGAAGTCGGGAATTCTGGTCTAACACGGATCAGGCTGAATCTGGTCGCAGTGTTGTTGTTGTCGTTGACCCTAATATAGGTGAACCGACGTGGAACAACCCTGGGAGTCCCTGTGCACGCGCACACGCATAACGACCTAGGTACACGGGTGCTAATTATGCGGGCATAAATTGTATCCTGACACAAAGAAAGCCAGTTTGATGTCCTGGTCTGGACAAAGAGCCTCCCCGCGCGGGCTATGTTCGAGGGCAGTTACGCATCGACCTAGAGAGCGCACACGACTCGGATTTGATGTTCGGGGAACGTTTGGTGACGTGGAATCGATATGGGGAATGATGACAAAGCCGACGGTTCGTGAGTTGTAGTGATTGGACGGGAAAAACGACACCAAGAAATCGCTGAACTTTGTGATACACGCCCCATAGTAAATCAGTCATCACAATGAAACTCGCTTTCAATGAATGTCTTTGTGCACTGTGACACAAATGACAAACATATCTTAGAAAATCTTTCGAAGCTTGATCATGTTTCCTATAGCTGACGGCCACATCTGGACCCATTGGCAAACAATTCTTGATTCAGCAACCTTCGTGATTAGAACAAACAAATAACGCCATCCTTTTTGCACCCGTCTCAAAAACATTCACATTTACCAAAACACCCAACAAATAAACCACCAGAAAAAGCCTTCCTTTCCTTGCTCAAATATCGCCTTGTCATACTGTCGTCCCTTCCCGACCCGTGCTAGCGCCCCGAGGCGACTCCACGCAAGTCTCCGCCCGGCTGGTGTTAGCTTCTTGCCGCGAAGCAGCGCACTGCAGTCTCCATAGTGACGGTGGCATCGCCAAATTACGCACGATCTCAGACCCATTGTGGGTGTGGATGGGTGATTGTTCTGAGAAGGAACGCGACAGTGAACTATTGTTGCGAGTGTTGATTGGATCTCGATTTTAATGCTGATTTTCATGGAATTAATCGTGTGTGGTACTTCCAACTTCCAAGGAGTTTTCACATTGGAAGACCGTTAGAATGTAGTGAGTAGGTACGACACATGGTTCTGCAATAATTTCCCGTTACTTACTCATGCATGGAATTGACACATCAACCCGAAGCTCCTTGGCTTCTAGTCCCGGAATGGTCTCATAACTCAGCAACAGTAACCACTTTAACCGGAACCGCTGTCAGCTCGTAACGAGTTGAATTTCATAGCACTTCCTTCTTAGAACGGAAGCATCCATTTTAGCCAGCACCGGGTCGGAATCAAGCCCTAACTCCATAACATGAATCGTAGAGGCTCAATCACGTGACTCCACTCACGCTGCTGGCCTGTGTGACGTCACAATCACGTGGTGGCTGGGCCCAGACGACGCCAGACGCCGGTATCGATCCGAACTGAGTCACGTGCTACGGTGGCTCTCAAACTCGTTTGTTGGGAAGCCCGAGGCTACGTCATTGGTTCCCCCTAGGGTCGCGGGCTCTGAATCCCCGGACCCCGACCGTCGCACTTGGCCTCGACTTTGAGGACCTATGGACTTACTTATTTTTTTTTCATTCCCAAACCTCAATTCAACGTCAAGACCATATGATGTGCAACAAATAAATTTAGTGTTTGAGTTTGACTGCGTCAAATCACTCTTGACACGCCAGCTGAACGATTTCCTCTCGATGCGGTTTGAGAACCCCTGGTATTCTCTCGCCTGCGGCAGTTACCTCGGGTGCAATGCTCGGATACAATACCCCCTCCATCACCCCGCCCCCTCCCCAGCACCCCCTCCCTTCCCCTCGGGCCCGCAACTGGTAAGCCTGCAGGCGCGAATGGATCCGCACCTCGCCAGGTTTTAGTGCCTCCGCGCCGGGGGCATTGCGTAATTCAATAGAAGTAATTGGCAAGTTTGGGAAGGTTTTACTACCGACTATGCTATTTGCAGCAGACGAACTTGGTCGTAGAAGGTGTGCGTAGAAGATTGTAAGCGCGAAACTTTGGCGTACCCCGGGGTGTAGTAAGTGTTGTGATGCGTGCTACTGAGCCGGCACGAGCTATGCCGGCGCAGTCAGCTGATAGCTGTTGCCAGCCGCCGCGGCGCCGGCAGGCGCCTGATGATAGGCTGTGCCGCCGGGCAGCTTCCGGCGTCCTTGAGTAAAGAGTATTGTTGTGCAGTCGTCAGCCGGACTCAATACAGTTAACATCGGGAGTGCGCGTGTGCATCTGGGGCGGTGGAATCGCGACGATAATTAATTTGCTATCGAACCATTATTAACGTAGACTTAAATGTAAAACCATAACATGGCGCGATCGGTATAATTTACTTTTTATCATTAAATATAGCATTTTTTCGTCGGTTTTAGCGCGCTTTTCTCGCAATGACGGAGGAAGGCAAGCCGGTGGACCTGGGAGCCCTCACCCAACTCCTCGCCCAGCAACTGGAGCTGGCTCAAGAAGCTCAGCGGCAAAGCCAGCAGCGGGAGGAGCGTATGGTGGCCGTAATGGAACGGATGTGGGCCGGGCCGGCGGCCGGGGCCGGCGCTGCAGCCGCGGCGGCTACTGCAGCGGCCACCCCAGCCGATACGAGCGCAGCCGTCAATCTACCGCCCAGACTGCCGGCATCAGCAACTCCCGCTCCACAGTTGTCGTCATCGGCGTCGCTGAAGGAGTTTGAATCCTGGCGACAGAAATTTCACGGCTACAGTCTGCTGACTGGCGTCAACAGGCTAGCCCAGCCCGAGCAGAAGGCA